AAAAAAAAAAAAAAAAAAAAACCACTCCTGGCAAGCTCCAGAATCCTGATGGATTAGAAAATGAACAAGGGATACCAGGTGAGTGAATATCCAGAGCCTTCAGTCGTGAGCTTGGTGTACCAGACCTAACAGGGCAGAGGTCTGGCACCCACTGTAAGACGGAAATGGTAAATAAGAGATCGAGCTGGAGCAGGAGCAGAGGGCACGAGTGAGCTGCATACACAGGTGGCCCACACCTGCCTCACCCTCTGTGGTTGCACCACAGCCCTGTGGCTCAGCAGGTGTCCCCAGTGAACAGTTGAAGGATGAAGAAATAGCCTGAGGATGGTTTATAGATCATTTGGCTTGGTTTACTGGTTCAGGCTAAAAATGGACAGCATCTGCATTACAGCCACATTCAAGGGTGACTTTGGAAGGCAGTGATGAAGTCTTTCTAAGGGTTAGAACTTCAGGTAATGTATCCAGTTATGTGCTTTTTGCAGAAGGAAAAGTGGCCCATGGAGCATCAGCCAGCACCATTACCTGGGGGCTGAGGTGTGCTTGAGCCTCAGGCATGGAATCCTACCCAACAGACCATTGGACCAAGTGACTCGGTTCAGACACTAGTCAGGCTGCATATCCTACCATCTGGGTCAGGCAGCCTGGGAATGGTACCAGCTTGGAGACAAACCAAAGAGAACGCAGTGCCGCCCTCCAGAAGGCCATGATGCACTTGCTCAGAGATATCTGTGCTTTCCCTGTCCCAAGAGAAAAACATCCGGGTCTGGCAATCACTGCCAGTAGTGGCGTTGGCCCACCTACCATCCTTTCTAACTGCCCACCAAAGGCTCTATGCTTCCTGACTTTGCAGTGCAGTGTCCGCTTGCCAAGGCACACAGCAAATATCCAACTGCACTAAAAGTTAAGGCTGCTAGCCGAGAACTTCGGGCTCCACATGCCCAATGACCGGCGGGCAAGACAATATTTGGGCGGGTCAACCGATTCGGCCCAGCAGAAGGTACAAGGGCTGTTGCCCAGTGAACGTGTCAGGAATTTGGGTGCTGTGGCGCCCCCCTCCCTCAGCCCTGGTTAACTGTGACCAGGCCAGGTAGCCCCAGACACTTCAGGAATGAGGGTTTCTGTCACACAACCAGATAAACCACTGAGACCAGCAGAAATGACAGGTGAGGTCCATTAAATAAACGCCGTTTAAAGAAGGCTGCGCGGGAAGAAAGAAGGGAAGCGCCAGGGCAGGTCCTGGATCCCCCAGGCCCTGGTGGCACTGCCGCCAGGGCTTGAGCAACAGGCTCGCAGTCAAGCGCCCAACGGGTTGTCTTCATTTTTTACTCTACTGTTTAATGTTTTAACGTCGCACTCTGGGACTCTGCTTGAACTTTCTGAAGTGTTTCCGAGCTCACCAAAGAGCAAGTCCCGCTCTAGCTCAGGGAACATCCATCCCTCCCAGCCCGGCAGTGGCCCCGGTGTCACCCGCGCCCTGGGCTCCGTGCAGCCGCACCCTCCAGGACCGCTCACCGCCTCTTGGCTTCCACGCGCGCGGCGATGCGGAG